TGCAGCTGCTACGTCGTGTGCTGTTGCAGCTGCAGCTGATACATTGTGTGCTGGCGCAGCTGCAGCTGCTATGGTGTGCTGTCGCAACTTCAAAATACAAACCTTTAACAAACAAACCTTCAACACTCTATAACTTGTGTTGTAGTAGGCCTACAATAATAATTTTTCACTTATTTTAAAGCTACAATTTCGCTCTATCTGTACATGAAATTTTGCAATTTTTAAATATTTAATACTAGTGCTAGCAGAACTAAGGGTAGCTATATAACAACATTATAACATTAATTTAAGTTTATTAAATAAAGGCACTTAGTGTTTTAGCTGTTAGTAATATTGGCGCGAAATTAGGGCTGTTAGGCGCAAATTAGGGCTGTTAGGGCTGTTAAACAGCTATTGCACGACTATGCCACAACTGTCAGCAATAGCCAGTCTGGGCTGGATTTTGAAAAACTTTTCCTGATGTATATTAGGGTGAATCCCTTTTGTGTGTTCAAAGGCAGTAGAATGCTATAAGAGTAGAAGAGAGAGGGAGAGTAAGAAGGGGAGAAAGGAAAGAGTATAGTTGTTTGCTGCTGTCGCAGCATAGGGTAAGCTACTAGGGGCAGACCTTGGTATAGTTTTGAGTGAGTTGGGTGAAGGCTTTAAAGGCCTCTAGATCCCTAATAAGTACACTAGTATATGCTACGCCTTCGCTACAGCTGGATGGTAGTATAGGTAGTTAGAGTGGCTATTAGCTAAAGGAACCTTAGGTCTTGCAGCAGAGTACAAGGTGCTCTAGCGTCTTATTATGCCTATATAAGTAGGTAAGTGTTGCGTTATTGTGTCTGTACTTTTAGTAGTACTAGGCAAAGTTACTGTGTATAGATTAGATTAAAAGCAGTCTAGCTAGGGTAGCTCTTAGTAGGTCTAGTTTTGGTAGTCTACTGCGTAGTATATAGTTAAGATCCTAGCTCTTGTACTATTTTAAGAGCTTAGTCTTCTTATTAGACTACTATATTTATTGCGTGTTCTGTAGCATCTTGTAGGCTATTGTCTTGATGCCTGAGAGTGTAGGCATAGTTGCTATCCTAGTTGGGGGTGGTGGGTGCTAGGCTTCTAGGTTAGCAAGTCTGTCTGCTGCTTTGTTTCCTTCAATGCCTAGGTGCCCAGGGGCCTATTTGACTGAGACGTCGTGTGTCTCTATAGCACTGTGGCACTCTAGGAAGGCCCACTGTGTGGTAGGGAGTGCGTCGCCCCTAAGGCACTATATGACTGAGGTGCTGTCTATGCATAGCCAGATTTGGCGCGTGCAGAGCGCTAGTTGTCTGATAGTGTGCTAGAGGCCTTTCCACGCTCTAGTTGCCTTAGCGTTAAATACGTGCGAGGTAGAGTAGAGTAAGCTACATCTAGTCTGCATTGCTTTCTATTCTAATACACAGCAAAGCTATAGGTAACCTACTTTTCTCCTTCCTTTGTGTACTATTTAGAGCTATCTAAGAAGATAGTAATATCTTAAGGTAGAAGGTTAGCCTATTATTCTTAGAAAGCCTTTGCTATAGACTTTTTTTCTACGCCTATAGTAGGGTCTGTGCAGTAGCTAGGTGAGTAGTAAGGGGCTAATAGTGTTGTCCTAGGTATCTTAGGTAGAAGAGATCCTAGATACTAGACCTTGGTCCGCATTTGCTGCAGCTTTCTAGCTAACCTGCCTATGCTCATCCTTATAGCTGCTGTGTGGCTGGCAAGTGGATGTTCTGCATCTACCTTGCGTAGATGTGTTGCAAAGTGGAGTTTGGCTTCTTCCAGCGCAGTGGCAGCAGAGGGTAGTCCAGCGTCTTGGAAGGGAGTAGCAATAGGGGTTGTTCGCCACACTGGGAGGATCCCTCTTGCTGCTATAGCTATTGTTTTGTCCATAACCGCTATGTGCCACCCAATATATGTGCTGACTTCTGCTGGTCTTCCAGGTTTGAGTGTACGTGGTGGTTTAGTACGGCCTCTGTACCAGCACTCAGCCCCATACAGAAGAGACGGGTATACGCAGGCGAGGGTAGCCTTGCAAAGGGAGCTAGCTAGTGGTCTGTAGGCTGTGTTTGCTAGGCTGCGGATATAGTAGGCTACCTTGGCTGCTTTTGTGTTGTGCGTAGCTACATGCTGCTTAAAGGTAAGTTTATAGTTAAACTAGATCCCTAGCTATTAGAGGGCTAGCTAGGTTCTTGACGTGTTTAGCAAGATTAGATTAATTATATAATGCTTGTCTACTACACAGGGGGGGCGTAGGTGCTCTTCTGTTAAGTAAGGTAGATTATTTCTTATTTTTCTAGCGCAAAGGTGACCTTGTTAGCTATGCCCTATGCTCTAATCTGTTGTAGGTCTGCTACTAGGAGCTTAACACTCTTATCTAGGGAGTGTAAGGCTTAGTATAAGCATATGTGATCTATGTATCTAAATCTCTTCTTTGTATCTATAGACAGTAGCTCTGCTAGATACAGTGTGTACAGGATTAGGGAGAGGGGTAAGCCCTGCAGCGTGCTGCAGGCAACTAGGCAGCTAGGGGTAGTAGCTTAGCCTAGGCGGACTTAGACCCTTTAATTAGTAAGGAAAGAGTTAACAAAGAGGATAGTTCTTTGTAGCTAGCCCTGTTAGGCTATCTAGTGTAGAAGGCAGTTCTTAAGGAGAGCGTCAAAGGCGCCTTGCACATCCAATATTACCATTGTGACGTGCTAGCCTTTAGCCCACGCAGCTTCTGTGTTATGAGTGAAAGCTGCAGTAAGATCTACAGCAGAGCGCTTTAGGAGGGCGCCTCTATGTTAGGGGCTAAGGATCTTGTAGGTCATAGCAGTCCACGCTATTCTTCTAGCCACTGTCCTTTCAAGTCCTTTTCTAATTCAGGAGAGGAGTGCTATATGTAACGACGCAGGCAAGAAGAGAGATATCCGGAATAGGTGTGAATCCGCTACGAGGCATATAGGAGTGCTAGGATGATAAGAACACCAGGATATATTCTCTACACCTATAGGTCTTGTACAAAAGGATACAGAAAAACTACTCTACAATGCTACAGTTCCTTGCTCCTTATATATAAGGGTTTGGTGGCAGTTTGGTGTGAGCTTATGCTATGCGACAAGGGCCATGGTCATGAGTCGCTAGAACAGTATCCTAGTGGTATCGGGTCACTGTTCGTAGAGCATTGTTACACTATAGGTCTCTAGGATTAGGTTAACGTCTAGTTTTCCTTTCCTGCCTTAGGTATCATAGCTACTTCTGCAAGCTTCTACTGGCCTAGGAAGTAGTTTAGTTAAAGGTATTGCTAAAAGATCTATTGTATAAGTTCTCCCACCTAGGCCTAGCAGGCACAGAGCAGTCGCACTGTAGAGTGGTCAGTTCCTGGCGATATGCTGGAGACCCCTATCGTATTTCGCTCAGCTTCCTCTAGTGAGATGTGTGTGCTCCAAGGGAGAGACGCTCTTGCTTCCTGCTCTGGTTGGTGGCTGAGGTCGTCTTCTGCTGTGTAGCGGTTGGGATTTACAGGTGATATAGTAGTAGCTGTAAAGGCCTTTAATATAAGGCTTTCTTTGAATGTGTTCACCTAGGCAGGCTAGAACAGGGCATGGAAGTCACCTTTAGACAGTGGCGCAAGGCCTTAAGATGCCTAAAGTTAGTTGTTAAGTTTATAGGTGTAGTTAGAGGAGAGAGGTTTAAAGCAGACTATGTCTAATAGCTGCAGAGTCTAGGTACTATAAGGAGGTAACACTACTAATTTAATCTATTTCTAGTGACAGTAATTAATAAAATCTAGTGTTAGATAACTCCTGTGGCTATCTATAATTACAAGGCAGTACCTTAACTACGCCTTAGGCTTTAAGTAATAGTTAAACACCTACTTAAGCTAAGCTAGTCTAATATTGTTGTTTGTCTATCCTAAGGGCGATGAGGCAACATAGGTTGAGTGCTTTTCTGCCTAGATTTCTACCACCCAGCAGCTCTGGAGGGTGGAGTTTTTTGACGCAAAGATAATGCTAGGTAGAAGAGCAGTACCATCAGCGCAGATCGCAGCTAGGAGGCTCATCCACTCACGTGAGCCGTCTTGACAAGCCTGCCTGACCTCCTTCTCATATTGACGCTTACTGAACACCTGTTTTGTTCTACCCAGCACTCCAATTGCGAAGCCCTTCTCATCCATATTGTACGTGTTTTCTGACGCAATGTCATATTAAGTAATCTTCTGCTGCAGAAGCTCAAAGTACAACTTGTAATTGTACGCTGACTCAGCGTTATGGCGATTAGAGTCTATGCCAGTGGCCCATTGGGACGTGAGCTGATTGCGGTGACAGTGCAGGAAGCGCTGAACCCAGCTATTAGAGCAGGGCTGTAAGGCAACAGAGGATGCGAAATTCTGTACTAGACGCCTTGTAGGTAGTAAGTGACACTCTGACAGCTCCTCTATATACTTAACTAGATCTAATTCCTGTTAGTTGCTGAGTTTCTGTTAGTTCTTATTAGCAACGCGTCAGGGAGCCTGCACACCTTGCTATGCACAGGACAACGTGTTGCAATTAACACTGTGTTTTTCCTACAAGCATTGTATATATAAGTTTATTGCCTAGCTTTAGATTATTAATCTCTGCAAGCGCATGTAAAAACTTTGTTATAGTGGTTAAGTTTTTACGCGTTGAAATCTACTGCAAATGTTGTGCCCTGATCGTTGGTTGACTCCGATCGTTGGGTGCACGGACACGGTACTGTGGCCGATGAGCCAGTTCAGCTGATGAGCCACCCCAACGAGATATTAGCGATAGAAAAATGAAGCTGTAGAGCCACACTCAAAAGCTGCTATCGCGAGAAAAGTTGGTGTATTGCTATACAGAGCCTTGCGCTTCAATTGTGCTATTTATATTTGGCTAGTAACCGTGAGTTACAGCCTCTTGCAGTAATTTTAGGTGGGGGAGACGCAGCTAGTTGTGCAGCGTTAACACAACTTTAAGCAGATTTTTAAGTAATTAGAGCGTTGTGTTGCTGCTTTTTAAGCGCTTGTTTGGCAGCTAGCACTTCAGCTTGTGCTTTCTTTGCCTTGCAACGCTCCTCAGCAGCACGCTGTTGAGCGAACTTTGCCTCCTCTTGCTGCTGCTTTTTCTAAGCTGTTACTGCCACCTTTGCCTTTCTATCACGAGATTTTTGGAGTTGTAGCTGCGCAGCTTTATTAAGTTCTGCAGCTTTGCGCGCGTGGTTGTAGGCAAGCTTCCTAGGACTGTAGAAGACAGCGCCGCTGTGCCAGTTGTTGCTGTCTTGTGTAGTTAGTGTTGTCTGCTGTGTTAGGCGCTTCTTAATAACGTTGAGCTTGTGTCATAGCTCCTTGTTTCAAGTGCGAAGAAGCTTGTTGTTGACCTGTAGCAAGTGGAGGCTCTGCGGCAGCCGCTTAGCTTTAATTCTGGCCTTGTCAGCAACTGCAGCGTCAAAAATTTTGCGCAGCTCAGGCCAGCTATCGCCGTCGCCATGCTCTACAATTTCTGCGTCTTTGTCTTGTTGTGGTGGGTGGTTATTAAAGCGGTTTAGTACAGCGTCTGCATCTATCAGCCACACGCCTGTAGCTTGAAAACTCTTTAATATAAGCTCTAAGGTTATTGTTACACTCTAAGCTAGCTAAAAGTTGCTGTAGAAGTTAGGTTTTGTGATCCTTGTAAGGCCTTAGGTTTGTTAGAGGTAGTGGGTAAGCTCCTTAGTGTAGTGCCTTGAAAGCAGCGCAAAGAGGACAACATGAAGCAGCTGCAAGCTGTAAGTTAAATAAGGTAGAAAGACTATAACGTAGATTATTACCAAGCCAGCCATATCACTAAACTAGCCATTTTCTTATAGCACAACTAACACAAGTTACTATAACTATAACTACTTACTATTAAATAATAACCTAGCATACTTTATGCTTATATTAGATTTAGAAGATATTTCTGCACCCTCCTAGCACGTTTGTGTGTTGTGTCTAGTCTTGCTATAGTTCCTACAGCACTAAACAGTTAATTAAGCTCCTAGTTAACTACCTCTACCCTAAGTCTTCTTAGATAGCTAAGCTGCTACAGACGCCTTAGCAGCTACCTGCAATGCTGCTAGGCCATACTTAAGTGTGCTACTATACTAAATCTGCTTTCCCTTACGCAATTTTCTCTTAGTTATTACTGCTAATTGCTCTTTAAGCTCTTATATATAGGCCTTAATAAGGACATTTTTATGCAGTATCTCTTTAGCCCCTTTTACAAGCTTTAAGAACCCTTCTTATGCTATACTTAGTAATTATTAGAAGGAGTTACTTACAAGCTTAGATTAAGACCTAAACTTATATATATTGCTTAGTGTCTTAGATTGCTACAGTGTTTTAGATAGAGGTACTGCTAGTAGGGTATATAGCCACACTTTAAGGCAATCTAACACTACCTATATATTAGAAGGAATAAGCCCTAATACCTTAAAGGCCTTTTAGTAGTTAACCTTTGTAAATATATTAAGGAATATATCCTTAAAGGCTAGTAGGAAGCCTTCCTTACTAATATAGAAGATGTGTTAGTATGCTAAGTCTTAAATATATTAGGAGTACTTATACTTTAATAGCAAGAAAAAGACTATATTAAGTAGCTAGAGGATGTGTAATAGGTAAGGTAGTATATAGAGAGTAAGGATTTTATTCTCTAGGTAATAGTCCTTAAACTCCTAGTTAAGATAGCTCTTATAGCTGTCTAAGATAAGTAACCTATACACTCCTACCTAACACCTCTTTGTATGTGTGTTAAAGTGCTTTAACTACTTAAGGCTAAGTATATTATTTATCTTACTATTCTTAGAGACTAAGAACTTTAAATTATAGGGTATATCTGTCTCCTTATACTAGGCAGAAATGTAGACGCGTCCTTTGTAGATAATAAAAGGTGGGGTTGCATACCTAGCAGCGCAGATGCTCTAGATAACAGTAACCTACTTGCGATTGCCTGGCTGAACAAGCTCTGGCTGAGCACGTCTCTCTAAGCCTGTTACAACCTTTAAAGACAAAGCAACACCTATCTAGAACCTAGTTTTATTAAAGTTGTGCATGTTATTATTATAAACACTATACTTAACTTTAGTATCCTCTACTAGCTTAAACTACGTGCTAATTATCTTAGGATCTTCCTATAGTATCCTTTGTCTATCCTTAGCTTAATTATAGGCTATTTTAAGCTTGTCTAAACGCATTACAAGCCTGCTAGCCTATAGTTTGCTAACAGGCTCTTTACTACGCACACTAAGTATCTTATTAGCTATATCTGCTACCTTATATAGCTAGGGCGCAAATCCTTGCAAATTAAGGTTAAGTATATACTAGATAATTGTCTACTCTAGTAGTATAGTAAATTTCTAGCAATTAGCACATACGTCTAGTTAAAACGTGAAATTGCAAAGGCAATTTAAGACCTGCTAATAAGGTATGTTTAACGCTCTAGCAGCGCTGTAGATACTGCGAAATTAGCTAGCATAGAAGGCCTAGATAGCAAGGATAACTCTGCCTTCTCTAGTAGTATTCTAAAGTTGTTGTTGTTAAGGCATGTTGTATTAGGGTAAAAGGTGGTTGTGCTAAGAGAAAGTGGCTGGTTTGGTGATATGGCCGGCTTGGTGATAATCTACGTTAAGGAGGACGCGTTTGGCGTTGTAATACTCTAGAAATTCAGGCGTGAGGTGGCTGCTGTGGCTGTCAAGGATTAGAAGCCGCCATTGACAGCAAGCTTTAGCTGCTGTATAGCGATCAAACACCTACTAAAGCTAGGCAAGCCCTAAGTCATTGTTTAACTATCCTGCTGCTAAGTAGGAGATAAAAATCTAGTGTTGTTTAGCAATAAGGTTGTTAACCTAGGTTAATTAAATACTAGAGGTGCCCTAGTAGATAAGAGCAGGTAGTAATGCCTCTCTAGAAGCGCATACGCAAGCTAGCAGCGTTACCTATTCTCTGTTGCTATCTCTAAGCACTACAGTGTGCTCTTTTAACTCCTTAATTACCTTAGAGACTATACTTTTAGTGTAACTGTTAATACTAACAAAGAAGCCTTTCTTATCTATATTATACGTATTGCGCTTATCAACACTATGCTCACGCATCTTAGAGTGCAATAGATTAAAGTACAGCTTGTACTTGCGCTTGCTATTAGCTAAAAAGCGCTCACAATCTATCCTAGTAGTCTATTTAGTGGTAAGCTTATTAGCGGGGTGATGCAGAAACTAAGTAATCTAGCTCTTAGAGACCTCCTACTTTGTAACCACAGAGGCGAAATTTTGCAGCATGCTTCTAGCAGGTGGCAAGCTGTCTCTTGTGCATCTTTCTAAGTATTCAACAAGTACCTCCTCCTGTTATAGGCTAAGTAACTATTACTAGCGCGCTTCTTCTACATTTAAGCGTGTATAACAGTTGTTCTACTGTAACAGCGTTGTTTAGTTAACTCTAAATATTTAATTACTTCTTAAATTAGATCTATGGTGGTGGAGTTGTGACGCGTTGAAGTTGTGGGTATCTCAATGTTGTGATGTTCTGGGTGGCTCATCGGCTGAACTGGCTCATCGGCCGCACGGCCACGGGTAAGCGAGCAACGGCTGTTACCGGTACGTGATTGGGCAATACGACGCGAGTTGTAACGTGGTCCACCACCGAGCGGATCACCCCACTGAGCGAATCACCAAATGCAACTATATATCTTTGAACGTGAATAACTCAACACAACAACAAGATATAATAGTGCGTAATAGCTTGAATTAATCGCCTATCTCTACTGTATCTTTCTTGCATGTACGCTTGTTGTGTCCTGTGTTGCCACACCTCCTGCAGCGCGGAATACCCCTGCTGCTAGCACCTGCCTGCACTCTCCCCTCACGCCTCTCTACTTCAAGTTGAACCTCAGCATCCTTTTAGGTAACTATTACCCCTGCTTCTACCTGTAATAGAGTCCCCCCCTTCTATATTCGCTTCTTCTTACGCTTTTTACGCTTAGAAGCAGCCTAATTTGCTTACTCAAGACTATCTATCTAAGCTTTAAGCAACATATGTAAGTGTACCTTTAAAGTTAACCCCTTCTTAACCTACAGCACTATCTTAAGAATAGACTTAGGTAAGGAACTCCTATAGTCCCTTATCCTCTTAAGAATTAGCGTTGTTTAAGCCTCTATTTCCTAGGCGTTGCTTGGTGTTTTAGGCTGCTAAGGGGTACTCCTAGGTAAAGGTAGTGTTAGTGTACAAGGCTTCACTTTAAGCCTTGATAGCACCACCTCTAGGTTATCTAGAACTAAGCCAGTTACTCTAAAGCTTGATAGGATATTGTCCTTTAAGAAGGCCTAGTTAAATACTAGGGTAAGTGCAGCTAGGAAGGCTTTCTTGTTAATGTAGTTAATATAGCAGTTTGCCAAGACTTGGATCTCCTCCTTGTACGCACGCTTTAGAGGGGTAAAGCAACCCACATCAAGCAGCTGAAGGATGTGTGAGGTGTAAGGGGGCATACAGAGGGTGATAATATTGTTCTCCTCACAAAGATCCTAGAAGGCGAGTGACTTGTGGCTCTCGTGGCTATCAAGAATTAGTAGTCTGTAACTACCTACTTTCTTAACCTCTGTGTGCTTAATAAAGTGCTGTAGCCAGGCAAGCCTAAGCTTATTTGTTATCTATCCATTATCACTAACCCCTATTCTCTAATCCTAAGGGTTATAATACTAGGCCTAGTTGTGGTTCTTAGCTTTAAAGATGATAAAGGGTGGGATAACCTACCCTGTGGCGTTGATGGCGGTAGGCTGGCGGAATGGGTATACTCCAACGTCCTTCGTGGGTACCCCCCAAAACCTTATCAATAATACATGGATTCTAGC